CCCTCGCCCTCTCCCCATCATCGGCAACCTCCACTCTCTATCCCCTTTCCCTCACCGCGACGTATCCAACCTCACCAAAACCTACGGCCCCATCATCCACCTCCGCCTCGGCTCAACCCCCACCGTCTTCATCTCCTCCCCTTCCCTCGTCGAACGGCTCTTCAAGAATCACGACGTGGCCATCTCCGATAGGTCTCCGGCCGAGGCACAAGAGATTCTGTCGTATGGACGCAAAGGGTTTGGGTTTAGTGAGTATGGGAGTTATTGGCGCAAGGTTCGGAGGATTTGTGTGAATAGTTTGCTTAGTAAGAGTGGACTTGAGTCGTTTGAGCCCGTTAGGAGAGAGGAGATGCGGATTTTTGTTGACTCGTTGAAGGAGGCGGCTGCTGATCGAGCTGTGGTTGATGTCACAGCAAAGGTATTGAGTTTATATCAGAAGTACCATTAAAATCAAGGGACGATTGCGGATAAACCCCAAATAGTACAGTTGTGTTGGTCTTGTCTATGTGTGGTTGCAGTTAACTCTAAAATCAGTGTTCATAGAAAGTTTTTCATTGTGAGGTCGAATTAACTTAATTAATTAATTTATTTATCTGCATTAGCTGAAATAATTTTCCATTATAATGTTTGTTCTCTTCTTGCAATAGGTGCGGTTGCTTGTTGCCGATATTGTGTGCAGGGTCGTGATGGGGAGAAAATGCATGGAAGAAAACATGGATGGTGGAAAGTTGAGTGAGCATTTTGATGAAGTGATGAGAATTCTTGGATCGTTCAATCTCAACGATACTTTGCCTTTCCTCCGGCCGTTCGATCTCCAAGGGATCAGAAGGAGGACGATGACGGTGAGAGAAAAGATCGACCGGTTTCTCGAGAAGATCATCCACGAGCATTTACAATCGAGGGAGGAGGGGATGAAGGAGCACAAGAAGAATGATTTTGTGGATGTCTTGCTTGACGCTATGGATGATAAGGAGAATTTGGAGTTGGAGCTTGATAGGAGCAGCATCAAGGCAATGCTTTTAGTAAGAAACTATAGTACTCACTTTTAGTCTTTTATCCCATGCCAAAATTTTACAAATCTTCTCGATCGGTTTCCCGATTTACGAAAGAGAGAATGGTCGACGGAGATCCTTCCCTTTGTTCAACCTAGGTTCTTCTTGGTGTCGATGAGATGCCTCACTCGAAACTCGTGTCGAGTTTGCTTCTCATTGACGATCCGACGTTTCACCTCGTTGGAACAAAGTCTATTCCTATTGGATTTGATATTTAGGAGAACTTGCGTGGCAAGTTTAAGAATAACTCTTAACGAGTTTAGGAACTAAGAACGAGTTTAAACTCGGTAAAAGAGTTAATTTAAACCGAAAATCGGTTTCGGTCAATTGCAAATCAATATATTATTTTTCATATATATTGAGTGAGTGATTGGTTAATTTCCGATATTTCTACTGTTACTTGAAAAAGGATTAATTACTAGAAGTTCCAAAACTTTTTCTTAATTAATTAGCTTCTCTCCTATTTGTATGGTTATTAGTAAGTCCTAATTAATATCTGATAATTTTGCCGCAGGAGGTGTTTTTAGGTACCCTGGACACGTCTTCTGATGCCATCGACTGGGCCCTCGTAGAGCTCCTGAGGCACCCCACGACCATGAAGAAAGCCCAAGAAGAGTTGACGAGGGTCGTGGGCCCACACCGGATGGTCGACGAGGCAGACCTATCGAAGTTGCCCTACTTACAAATGGTAGTCAAGGAATCGCATAGGCTCCACATGTTAGCTCCGTTTACGTTCCGTCGCGCGAGGGTCGACGTAGCTCTTGATGGCCACACGATCCCGGCCGGCTCTAACGTCCTGATATGCAACTGGGCTATGGCCCGGGATCCAGACTTCTGGCCCGACGCCGAGGAGTTCGTACCCGAGAGGTTCGAAAGCAGTAGCCTCGACGTGAAAGGCCACGATTTTCAGCTTCTTCCGTTTGGATCAGGCCGGAGAATTTGTCCCGGGGTTGGGTTTGGGCTCCTTTTCGTGCCGTTGGTGCTGGCACAGCTGGTTCACTGCTTTGACTGGGAGCTCCCCGCGGGCGCCTCGGCTTCCGGGTTCGAAATGAAGGAGAAGTACGGGTTAACTATGCCTAGGGCTGTGCATTTGGACGCTATTCCGGTTCGTCGCCCGGCCGGTGGTTAATTTAGGTAAATAATCGTGTATTAATTAATGCAAAATGTTGTGGTTTAGTTTGGTGTGATGGCAGCTCATGTATCTGTAAATAAATGTTGTAGTTTAATTTGGTGTGATGGTAACTCTTGTATCTGTAAAGTCGTATATATTAATTAATGCATGAGGCTGAGGTCTCTGATCTCTTGCAGGTCTCTTGGATGTTTCATATATACACGTTCTCTCTGAAAAATCTCATCATTTTGATGCCTATTGATGTACTTGTTTTCACGCGCTTGAAGTACTACCGCTACCCCTTAGTTAATTCTCGTTATCGCACATTATTTTCAACTGAGTATATATTGTCGACTGTTTGTATGTCGACAGAATTAGTGGCTGTTTTGTATTTGGTTATACTGATACTAATGATGAATTTTTTTTATTAGACTTATTTGAATCCATGTGGTCTTTTGTAGTGTTTGAACATAGTGAGAATTATAACTAATTTCATTAATATAACCAAAGGGATTATATATATCTTATAGAAAACAGTGAAACTATACTAGGAAGTCGTTGCTGTCAAATTTGCCTCCACTATGGGCTTAATCTTAGCCTACCAACACAGATCAGCTCAAAGTAATGCGTGGACTATGGGCAAGAGCAGACTTGGTCAACATTTCTACTGGATTATCGACTATGCTAATATTTTTCACATCACTCTACTTTAGAATTTTTTTCCCCTCTTTAAAAACCACGTACCTTATATTTAGAGTCAATTTATGTAGATCATCTTATATTTTTAGCTTATACATAAACCACATATAACATTAATTTTTCTTTCAATCAATCACTCAAGCGCACTTTACAACTAAAACGTTTCGGAAATTCTAAGAAAACTCTCACTCAATCTCACGCATAAAGCACATGACCTCTGGTGCCATTTTCGTGCCTTGGTGGGAGCCTACGTAAGTGTAGAGCCACCCTCAAACCTATCTGAGTACGCATCTATATACGAGAGAGATTGCATGTGGGACCCATTTCCAAATCTAAGGGATCCCAATATTTCTTTTTCAACCTCGTGCGCCATGTTGATGAACGGAGGAAAGCCCGACAACAGGTTACACTTGTGCCCGTAAACCAAGTGTAGGGGACGTGATCCTAGACTACAAAGGGATGTTCTTGGAGCTTTTAATTTCTATCCCCAGGATAGGCAGAGTTTCTGCTGAGCGTACGGAGCTACTTGGCGTGTTACGTGACCTTCGATATGCGTGGGAGAGTGATCTTGTTATCCATAGCTTGGCGCGGACTGCATAGGAGTGATAAACCTGCTCAAGAATCCAAGTAGTAAGCTTCGTCCATTGGGAGATGTTATGGTTGAGGTTCGAGGGGATTTAGAGCGGTGTGCAATGCCCCCAAGTTGTTTATTTGCCAAGAAATTAATTAGCACATCGACTTGCCTATTTCGGCCATCGCCTGATTTCAGCTGTGTTTTGACTCCATGAGATTTCAGAGTTTTTATCTCCTTTTGTTTCAACTAATATTTCTAGCTAAATGTTTTAGGACGCTTCCGGATTTTTGAGGCACGAACTGCATAGAAGTGATAAACCTACTCAAGAATCCAAGTACTAAACTTCATCACTGGGAGATATTATGGTTGAGGTTCGAGGGGATCTAGAACGGTGTGTGATGCGCCCAAGTTGTTTATTTGGCATGGAATGCTAATAAATTAGCGCATCAACTTGCTTATTTCAGTCGTGGCCTGATTTCAGAGTTTTTATCTCCTTTTGTTTCAGCTAATATTTCTAGCTAGACGTTTTAGGATGCCGCCGGCTTGTGGAGGGTTCTATATTAAAAAAAAGTTTAAAATTTGAAAATTTCAAACCTGACCAACTTTTTATGGGTCAAACACTGATATATTAAAAATTTAGTCAATTTTGATAAACAGCTTGGTCGATTTTTCTAATTAAATTTTAGAAACTTTCTTTTTTTATAAAAAATTTGTCCTAAGACAAACATACGTCAATTTTTTCTTGTGAACAACGGTGTTAGCATGGGGACCACATAACCATTCATGCGGTAAAGAAGAAGCGGAAGTTTTTTTTTTCTTCTTCACGTGAGGTGATAAGGTGGGCCGCAGCCATGTGCATCTTAGCCATTCACGCGCCTGCAACCGAGCCTGCAACCGATTTCTCATCTGCTACTCTCCTATAAATACCTATGACTACCTAGGGTTTTGTGTGAAAAAAAAGCTGCAGCGGGAACAAAGTTCGGCTTTGGAGAAAAGCAATTGCTGCGGAAAAGGTGCAAGGGAACAGCGACTTGGAGAACAAAACGCAGAGGAAAAGACTGCGAGGAAATAAAATAGCAGAGAGTTCTTGCTGCTGAAAAGTGAGTTCTTGGCGGCTGTTTGAGAGGAGAGAAAAAGAGAGATTCTACAAAAGAGAGGTTTATTTCTTTTGGGTAAAAATCAGATCTTTGAGACGAGCTTGTGGATTGTACAAGTCGTCGGTGTTCTCCTTATGGTGGTATCTCCCCTCACCCCTCCCGTGGACGTAGGCAAGTTTGCCGAACCACGTAAATCTCGTGTATTTACTGTTTTCTGGGTTGTTGACTGTTGCTTGTAGGATCCCTCAAAATTCGGTCTTAGAGCTGATGAGAGGAAGAGTGTATATTTCACTTTGATGAAATATATCACTTTCGATTCTTGTTTCCTTTGAGAAATAAGAATTTCATTATCTATTCTCGTTTCCTTTGAGAAACAAGAATATAGAGGTTGACTTGTGCTTTTGTGACAACAAAAAACAGTGCTCTCTCTCAGGTGATATCGCTTCCGCGGCGGTGGGCGTGACTCTGCGCCCAACAATTGGTATCAGAGCTGTTATTCAGATTGGGAGTGGTGTAGCTTCTGATTTGAGGTGGTGCTCGGTAATTTCCTGAGACAAGCGGAGAATGGCGTCAACAAGTAAAACAGTTAAAGTGGGAAAATACGAGATTGAAAAATTCAATGGGAAGAATGATTTTTCCTATTGGAGGATGCAGATGAAGAACACGTTGATTTCGCAGAAATTGCACAAAGCTTTGGCGGGAAAAGAGAAGAAGCACAAGGATATGTCTGATGAGGATTGGGAGGAGCTGGATCTGGAAGCACGGGCGTCGATTATCCTTTGCCTTGAAAGGGATGTAGCTTTCTTGGTAGATGGAGAGGAAACGACCGCGGGCGTGTGGTTGAAGTTAGAAAGCACCTTCATGACGAAGAGTCTAACAAACCGGATCTATTTGAAATCCAAATTGTATACTTGCAAGATGGAGGAGGGCTCATCAATCCGGGAATATATCAACAAGTTCGATAGGATTATATCGGATCTGAAGGACATCGATGTGACTGTAGAAGATGAGGATCAGGCTCTTCTATTACTTCTATCTCTGCCGAAGTCTTATGAGAACCTGGTGCAAACATTGATGCTTGTGGGAGACAATTTGACGATGGATGAGACTAGAACGGCGCTTCTAGGGGATGACCTTCGAAAGATTGCAACCGGTGACATGACTACTGGTGGTAACAAAGAACAAGCGCAGGGATTGTTTGCTAGAGGAAGGAGCAATGAGCGAGGAAAAGGCAAGGGAGGAAAGTCTAGATCTAAATCGAGACCTCTTGCGGGAAGAGTGTGCTTCAAATGCGGTGAAGTTGGGCATTTCAAGGTTGACTGTCCTAACAAGAGAGTAGGTGGGAAAAAGAACAACAACAAGACCGAGAGAAGAGAAGGCAAGGAAGAGGCGAGTTACGCATCGGAGGAAGGGAGCGATAAAGAATGCTATGTTGTTACGGGTGGCGAAGATACCTCCGGTAAGTGGATACTTGATTCAGGTTGCTCTTACCACATGTGCCCAAATAGGAAGTGGTTTACTACCTATAGGAGCATTGATGGTGGAACTGTATTGCTGGGGAATAACCATGCTTGTAAAACGGTGGGGCTCGGTGATATAAAAATCAAGATGCATGATGGAGTGGTCAGAACCCTAACGGACGTGCGGCACGTTCCCGACTTGCGGAAGAATCTTATCTCAGTGGGTGCATTAGACTCCGGTGGCTGCAAGATTGTTACAGAGAACGGAGTAAAGAAGGTTGTTCGAGGTTCCCTAACAGTGATGAAGGGTGTTCGTCACGGTAATCTATATACTCTCTCGGGTACGACGGTGACAGGAGATGCAGCGGTTGGAACTGATGGAAGTGGTGGAGACCCATGTGAGCACACCCGGTTATGGCATAGGCGGCTTGGGCACATGTCAGAGAAGGGTCTGGTTCTGCTTGGTAAGGAGGGTTTGCTGAAGAATCTGAAGAAACCTTGCATGGATTTTTGCGAGGATTGTGTGTACGGAAAGGCGCACAGGGTCCAATTCTTGAAAAGCAATCACAAGAGCAGAGGTATACTAGATTATGTGCACACGGATGTTTGGGGTCCGGCTCAGACAACTTCCAAGGGTGGTTCCAGGTATTTTGTCTCGTTCATAGATGATCATTCGAGATATGCTTGGATTTATTTTCTTAAGCATAAGAATGAGGTATTCGAGACATTCAAGAAGTGGAAAGCAATGGTTGAGAACAGGACGGGCAAGAAATTGAAGACACTAAGATCTGACAACGGTACAGAGTATACAGACGGTGCTTTCAAGGAGTTCTGTGATCAGGAGGGCATTGTTCGACACTGGACAGTCAGGTCAACACCACAGCAGAACGGGGTCGCGGAGAGACTGAACCGAACATTGCGGGAGAAGGCAATGAGTATGCGATCTTATGCTGGATTGGGCAACGAATGGTGGGCAGAAGCGGTGGCTACAGCATGTTACATTGTGAACCGTTCTCCACATTCGACATTGGATGGTGATACACCCTATAGGGTGTGGTCAGGGGAACATGCAGATTATGAGAGGCTCAGAATTTTCGGATGTACCGCCTATTATCACGTCAACGAGGGAAAGCTTGACGCGAGGGCTAAGAAGGCGATATTCTTAGGGTATGCGAAGGGCGTAAAAGGCTACCGCCTTTGGTGTACAGAAGATTCAAAGTTCGTGATCAGCAGGGATGTTACCTTTGATGACAACAACAGCAGCTCGAGGATAGCTTGGCTTTCACTAGGCCAAAGCGAGCATACAAGCAGGTACAGAAGCTGGGGGCTGATCAACCCCTGAAGCACTATGGGCAGGTTAATTTGGTGGAATACGCACTCTCGGTGGAGGAAGATGAGCCGGTCTCCTTCAAGGAAGCTATTCGGGACAAGGATAGTGAGAGCGAGAGTTGGTTGGCTGCGATGGAGGAGGAGATGGAATCTCTTCGGAAGAACCAAACATGGGAGGTGGTCCCATTGCCCGTAGGAAGAAAAGCTATTGGTTGTAAGTGGGTGTATAAGAGAAAGGAAGATCCTTCAGAGCTCGGTGGCACAAGGTACAAGGCGAGGCTAGTGGCTAAAGGGTTTGCACAAAGAGAGGGTGTGGATTACAATGAGATATTTTCTCCGGTGGTGAAACACACTTCTATTCGGGTGCTATTGAGTATTGTTGCTCATGGTGATCTTGAGCTGGAACAACTCGATGTTAAAACAGCCTTCTTGCACGGAGACTTGGATGAAGAGATCTACATGCATCAACCTGAGGGTTATAAGGTTGAGGATAAGGAGCATCATGTATGGAAGTCACTCTATGGACTAAAGCAATCTCCTCGGCAGTGGTACAAGCGATTTGACTCCTTCATGCTGAAGCATGGATTTTCCCGAAGTGATTACGATTGCTGTGTTTACATTCAGAAGCTTCGTGGAGGTGATTATATCTATCTCCTTTTGTATGTGGATGACATGCTTATTGCTTCTAAGAGCGGGGTGGAGATAGATAGGCTAAAATCTCAACTTGGTAAAGAGTTCGATATGAAGGACATGGGCGCTGCTAGAAAAATACTGGGTATGGAGATTAGGAGAGAGCGGGCGAAGGCGATTGTTCTTGAGTCAGAAGGGCTATATAGAGCGGGTGATCGCGAGGTTCGGGATGCAAAGTGCTAAGTCGGTGACGACTCCATTGACTTCACACTTCAGGCTTTCAGGTAAACAATCTCCCACTACAACGGAAGATAAGGCACACATGGAGCGTGTTCCTTATGCTAGTGCAGTTGGCAGTTTGATGTATGCCATGGTGTGTACACGTCCAGATATTTCACAAGCGGTTAGTGTAGTCAGCAGGTTCATGGCGAATCCGGTAAAGGCGCACTGGGAAGCTGTGAAGTGGGTCCTGAGATACTTGAAAGGTACCGTGGATACGGGTCTGTGTTTTGGTGGAGATACATGTCAGATTGACGGGTTTGTTGACTCTGATTATGCGGGTGATCTAGATAGACGGCGATCTACTACTGGTTATGTATTCAAGATACATGGAGCTCCAGTTAGTTGGCGATCGATGTTGCAGGCTACAGTGGCACTTTCTACTACAGAGGCCGAGTACATGGCCATGGCGGAGGGAGTGAAGGAAGCATTGTGGTTGTGGGGTCTTCTAGACGATTTGGGGATTGAGCAGGAGAACGTGAACTTGTGGTGTGATAGTCAAAGTGCGATTCATTTGGCGAAGAATCAAGTTCATCATGCTCGTACCAAGCATATCGATGTCAGGTATCATTTTGTGCGGGATGTCATAGAGGAAGGTGATATTTCTCTCATGAAGGTGCACACGAATGAGAATCCCGCAGACATGTTAACCAAGGTGGTCACAGGTGGCAAGTTTAAGCATTGCTTGGACTTGCTTCATATTAGCCCGTGTTGAACTGCCCAAGAGGGCATGGCCCTTCGGGGCGGTGATGGGGTGAGGTGGAGACTATATGGAGAACAAATCCTGAACTACGGTTAGCTTGATCCCGATGGAGGGTACGTAGGCAGTCGCGGTAAAGTGGCGCAGCTGGTTTGGCCTGGCTTGGCCTGGTTTTGGTGTTTTAGATATCTCTGGTGATGTTCTCAGTGTTCTTCTGGTGTTCGTCCAAAATTTGAGGTTTATCAAATGATGTACGAGGTGGAGAATTGTGAACAACGGTGTTAGCATGGGGACCACATAACCATTCATGCGGTAAAGAAGAAGCGGAAGTTTTTTTTCTTCTTCTTCACGTGAGGTGATAAGGTGGGCCGCAGCCATGTGCATCTTAGCAGCCTGGCAAATTGCAGGCACGTGAATGGGTAAGAGGAAAATCAACCAGCGGGTAAAAGCCAAGTGAACGGATACAAGCCAAGGTCCAGCGGGTAAAGTCAAGGCCCAAGTCTCTTCCTATTAATATCTATTGGTCCCTAGGGTTTTCTAGTGTGGGGAAATTTTCTTTAGACGGCTGCAGTCAAGCAACAGGGAAAAGGCGGCTCGGAGAAAAGGAGAAAAGAAAAAGAGAGACTTGGCGGCTGTTTGAGAGGAGAGAAAAAGAGAGATTCTACAAAAGAGAGGTTTATTTCTTTTGGGTAAAAATCAGATCTTTGAGACGAGCTTGTGGATTGTACAAGTCGTCGGTGTTCTCCTTATAGTGGTATCTCCCCTCACCCCTCCCGTGGACGTAGGCAAGTTTGCCGAACCACGTAAATCTCGTGTATTTACTGTTCTCTGGGTTGTTGGCTGTTGCTTGTAGGATCCCTCAAAATTCGGTCTTGCGCTGATGAGAGGAAGAGTGGATATCTCACTTCGCTGAGATATTTCGCTACTGAGTCTAGGTTTCCTTCGCGAAACTCAGATATCGAGGTTGACTTGTACTTTGTGCAAACAAAAGCCAGGGCTCTCTCTCAGGACATATCGCTTCCGCGGCGGTGGGCGTGGCTTTGCGCCCAACATTTCTGCATATTGAAATCAATTCTTTTGTTATCCAATGAGACCTTATTGAAATTCGCGCTCTTTGTAATTATAACTGTTGCGCCTTGTTTGGCACACCAGAATCGATCAAGTGAGAATGCTATAAATGAATAGAATGTAACAAATGTGGGAATGAACTAGTCATTTTCATTCTCACATTTGAATTAGTGGATGAAGCCGGAACTACAAAGATTAGCATATGTAATTAATAAGTAATCAAGACATATTTGAAAGTTATTTTAATTTTAGGTTATTTGCATATGTACCCCTTAAATCATATATATTAGCAAGAATGCCCTCTGAATCTCATTATTTACAAAACTATCCCTCAAAATCATATGTAGGCTGTCTAAAAATTACTGTAGATAGTTGAACCCCATCAAACACCGATGATGGAAGGTTTCCAGAAGGCTACAATTTAAAAACTTTCACGTAGATCGATGAAGGTTATAATCTGACGACCTTCACAACAACCGATGAAAGCTCTAATTTAATAGCCTTGACAATCAATATCTAGAGTTATAATTTGACGACTCTTATATTTTTAAGGAGTCAAGACGAAGATTACAATATGACATTCTTTGAAAGCTCTGACAAAAGAGACTACAAATTGAAGATCTCTTCAAATCAAGACGCAAAGCTCACATCTGCGTCCCAGATTCAAAATGCAAAGGTCATGTCCGCGTTTCAGATTCAAAATACAGAGGTCGTGGCTGCGTTTCAGATTCAAAACGTAGGGCTTACCACTGCGTTTCTAGCCGCCAGTGCGGAGCTCAACTCTGCGTTCCAATCCCAGAATGCAGAGTTCGTGCCAGAATGCAGATTTTGCGTTTGACTAGTTCAAACACAAGCTGAACGGTTTCAAAACCGTTTTTCACGATTTGAGGGGATCACTCCCCCATTTAGGAGCGAATTAAGGGGGTTGTTACACCCATTAATCCCCTATAAATGGCAGAAAACTCAACTGAGTTCGAGATCTCCGATTGATCGTCTTTTTTGCATCAAAGATCACCAAAAAGAGAAATCGACATTTTGTGTTCTTGGAGATCTTGGAACATCCTTCAGCAACAGAGACCTTGGAGCTCATCCTTGGCTTATAAACGATTTTTGGTTCAAATCAACTCTCTTAGAGAGTTTTAAACTTGCTCTGAGTTCCTAAATTCGTTTAGAGTTATTCCTAAACTTGCCACGCATGTTCTCTTCAACATCAAGTCAAGAGGAAAATATCTTATTCCAACAAGGTGAAGCGTTTGGATCGTCAACGAAAAGCAAACTTGACACGAACATCGAGGGAGGTATTCCATCGACGCCAAGAAGAACCCAGGTTAAACAAAGGGAAGGGGTCTCCGTCGATCCCTTCTCTCTTTTGTAAATCAAGAAACCGATCGAGAAGATCGTAATTCTTTATCTAAGTTTGTTAGAGAGGAATTGCATTGAGAGAATTGTAACTCATTCTTTTTCTAAGTCTGTTAGAGAGAATAATACAAATTTCAATTCTCTAGTTTTTTTTCTTTCAATTTTCCCACCAAACATCATCAAATTAAAAAAAAACCCCTCAAAGCAGTTAATCATCAACTTGGTAAACTAATTTGGAATTGCAACGTAAAAATTATCAACAAAATCTTCAAGTTTTTATCTCCAAATTACTGATTTCTTGATTCTAGAGGTTTTTCCTCCTTAAGCTGATAATTTCAGGGGTAAGTTCACAAAATTCTAAGATATTGGAGACATTTTTGCAAATACCCATGATATATGGGGTATACATGCAAATAATCTTTTAATTTATGGAGAAAAGACGAAGACATTTTTGCAAACACCCCTTCTCTCAGAATGAGATTTCTAATTTTGAAGAACGCGTCTGTTTAGTATGCATATATCGACAATTAGAAATTTGAGAATTGCACTCTGCTCCCCCTACGCCTAGCGTTCAGCTTTTTCTTGAAGATCCATGTGTAGCTTGCAATCATTTTCCCCTCCGATAGTGTTACCAGTTTTCGTGTGCCCGCTTCACTTTTGAAACCGAGACAGAGACCGATCTCTGATGTTCTCACTTCCCCTTCTGTACACCGTACGCCCCCAAACTGTTCGACGAAATGCCTCAACGATTAACACTCTACTTCAACTCCATCATACGAGCTCCCCTCATCAAGGGCTCCCCTCTCGTCTCCCTCCTACACCTCAAAACCCTTATCGGACCCCTCCCCCTTCGACCCGATGCCCGAACCTTCTCCCTCACCCTTCGGTCATCGCAACTCCTAGCGAGACCCGAACCCGCATTGCAAACCCACGCCCGGTTCATGAAAACCGGCTACAAGCTCGACCCTGCTCCCCTCTTCCACTTCTACATGCAATGCAATCTCATGCCTGAAACCCGGCAGCTGTTTATCGAGTCCTTTCGGTTCAAACCTGACCCGATACCCGGTAACCTGTTGATAGCTGCATTGATGAGGAACGGGGAGGCTGGGCTGGGTAGAAAAGTGTTTGATGAAATGCCTGTCAAGGATTTGGTTAGTTGGAACTCTATTTTAGCGGGTTTGGTTCGGAATTCGAGGTTTAAAGATGGTTTGGTTTTTTTCGACAGGATGGTCGGTTCGGGAGTTGAACCGGATGGGTTCACTTTTTCTACGACTTTGTCATGTTGTGCGAGGACGGGGGCGTTGAGTCTCGGCGAACGGGTTCATCGGTTGATAGTTGAGAGCCGGAGCGGGTTTAAAGTCGAGTCAAACCCGTTCGTGGCCTCAGCTCTTATTGACATGTACTCGAAATGCGGTCGGATCGAGTCAGCTCGTGACGTCTTCTGTTCGATTGAGGTTCCGCAGTTATCGGTTTGGAACGCGATGATGACCGGGCTAGCGGTTCATGGGCGTGGGCCCGAAGCGATCGAATTGTTTCGTAGAATGGAGGAATCTGGTGTTTCACCCGACGGAATAACATTCGTCGGTCTACTGACAGCGTTGAGCCATTCCGGTCTGATTGGACCGGCTAGGGTTTATTTCGATTCGATGAATTCGGTCTACACGGTTGAACCATCAGTCGAGCATTATGCTGCGATTGTTGATGGTTTGGGCCGGGCTGGGCAATTGGATGAAGCCTTGAAAACAGTTGAGGCAATGCCAATTGAGCCAGATGCTATAGTTTGGAGATCATTCCTTAGTGGTTGTAGAAGGCATCGACGGCCGGATATGGCTGAACTGGCGATCGGACGGATGGAGAAATTCGGAAGCGGAGATTATGTTATGTTATCAAACATTTATTCGTCCACAAAGAAGTTTAGTTGGGCCGAAAGGCCTTGGGCTTTGATGAGAGTGCAACGGGTTAGGAAAGAAGAGGGAGTCAGCTGGGTCGAGTTGGGAGGAAAATTGCACCATTTTAAGGCCGGAAGCAATAAGGCCCAAGCCCATGTAGAAATCGAGTCAATATACCAAGCTCTTGGTGAGCTTATGAGGAGAGTGAAAAGAGAGGGGTTCATTCCGATGACTGAGGTTGTGCCGATGGATGTCGACGAGGAGGAGAAAGAGGAGAACTTGAGTTGGCATAGCGAGAAAATTGCGGTGGCTTATGGCGTGTTAAAAACCGTGCCAGGGACCGAGATTAGAGTATCGAAGAATTTAGCGACTTGTGGTGACTGCCATGAATGGATGAAGGTGGTTTCAAAGGTTTTGCGCAGGGTGATTATTATGAGAGATAGAGTTAGATTTCACAGGTTTGAGAGGGGAGCTTGCTCGTGTGGGGATTATTGGTAGCTTGCCTTATCAATGTTTGTTTTATCTTTGAAGGAGCAAGGTTTTGATGTGATGATACTTGCCCACGTTTCACACGGTGCATATTGATATAGATAGTTGATGATACTAACTACAATGCTCGACTTGTAATTAAACCCAGGTTCTACCTTGCTTTCTATCTGTGAAGTTTATGTTCCTCTTATTATAGTCTTTCTCACCTGGTAGGCAGGAAAAAAACTCCAAATGCCCTCTCTCACTTATAAACTATGTTCAATAGACATAACTTGGATCGAGTTTTATCCTGACCTGATTCTATTACGGGCATAGAAATAGCTGCGAAACTGATTTCACTGCTGTCGCAACAGATACATTCCCAGATACACCTTCAGTTGGCTGGTGAAACCCATGTGGATGGTCATAAGTAAGAAATCTTCGTATTATTAATCTTTCTTCAACTTATATGGATATGCTACTGACATCTTTGTGGGCTTTTTAAGAATTCATGCACGGAGCTGCTGACCTTACACTGTTGCCTTCAGCTGCTATCAGCAGGGATCTTCAAGCCGCTGAAGTGATAACCGGTAAGATTGGTCATTATCTGTTTTTTGCGGCTTTCATGTTTCCCTTGTATATTTTGCTTATTGTTTGCTTTTGTTTCTTCAGCAAATAGGATTCGGCTTTGGAACAAGGGTGTTGATTCTGAGAGCTTCCACCCCCGATTTTGCAACTGCGAAATGCGAATGAGGCTAAGGTACGCTACTTCTGACATACACACGGACACACACACCTTCACACCCACACAAACAAAAAACACATACATTTGTATGGCTTAGATTTTGGCTAAAATTGTTGTTCCTGTATGTTTAGTAATGGAGAACCAGAAAAACCACTGATAATTCATGTGGGCCGTTTGGGAGTAGAAAAGAGCTTGGATTTCCTAAAACAGGGAGTTACTAGTGCTGAAACTTTGCATACTGGGATATTTAATCATGTTTTCGTTAGACAAGAATTTGTCCTCTTTGTTTCATGCATTTGTCTATTTCATGTTTCTGGTTCTTGTGATTCTATAGTTAGAACATGCGTTTAATTACAAGTCTAGCATTGTAGTTAGAATAAGCTTTAACTTTAAACAGAGTACAATTATGATGCTAATAATTTTAAGTACGAAGAAGCTTGGTTGGGACTATCAGATGTCACAGAGGAGTCCCCCAGTTTGACTCCTCAACTCGGTCAATTTTAGAACCATAGTGGAGATTAGATGTTCGCGACCATGCCCATGTTAGAACGATAAGGGGCTGTTTGTTTCTTCGGTTTTGGGTGAGAAAGAGCCTGAAAGCTGCCACAGATGTCCCATCTGTGGCAGCTTTCGAGCTCCTCAGTCTCCAAACCAAACGGACCCTAAGTGTTACATGGCTTAATAATTGGAGTGTTTTGCCACAATAAATGTATGGGCGGTGTAGCCCATGTGAAAAGAATGAAAAAAAATATATACAGAAAGGGGGAGCCATGTTTATAGGGTAGCCCACCTTAATTCAATGAAGGATGTTAGTTTCATATTAGAAGCCAAAGTCTATAAACGGCTATCAATTCTTCGGTTGGAAGCAAAACAAGCAGAGCAACTCAAGCCACAGAGAACTTGAATGAGCCAGAGAAAGAGAAAAAAGAGAGTTAAAAGAGAGAGTTGGTCTTTTTCCATTCCTTCTCCGGTGTAGAAAAAGTCATCTTTTCTATCATGTTTGTTGTTGGTGTACATCTAGCCAAGTGTCTAGAGAAAAACTCGTGCACTCGTTACTTTTCATAGTGGAATTTTTTTTGGACTAGATCATGTGGTTTTTACCTTCAATTGAAGAGTTTTCTGTGTTAAAAATAGGAGTGTCCTGTTGAATATTTCTTTTGGTCATTTCATTATCATTTGCTTTATTAATCTATTTTATCTACAGAGAAAAGGGAAAAAGTTAATCAATTACCCCTATTTTTCTCAACAATTGGTATCAGAGCCTAGCAGAGCTATCCCTTTTATATAAGGCAAAATGGAAAACACTAGTGTAGACAGTACCATGATCAAGCTCAATAATTTTAATTGACTGACCTGGAAGCCCAAGATGGAGGATATCATTTTCTGTAAGAATTTGTATGATCCTATCGAAGGCAATGAGGCAAAACCAGCAAGTAAGTCCAATGCAGACTAGAAGAAAAAAAATAGAAAGACTATTGGAATTATTAGACAATGGGTGGATGATAGTGTATTTCATCATATTTTGAATGAAACTAGTACTTACTCATTGTGGAAAAAGCTTGAGTCTTTGTTTCAGCAAAAAACAGTTATGAACAAGGCGTTCCTTGTAAATTTGAAGTATCAAGATGGTAGCCCCATTGCAGAGCATCTGAACAAGTCCCAAAGCATCATGAATCAGCTAGTCGGCGATAAAAGTCACTTTTGATGATGAAGTGCAAGCATTACTCTTGTTGGGGTCATTGCCGGACAGTTGGGATACCCTTGTGGTAGGCATAAACAATTCTGCTCCGAAAGGGCATCGTTTCGGCATCTTATTGTAGACCTGCTCAATGAAGAAACTAGAAGAAAGACATTAGGCTCAAAACATGCTTAAGCCCTCGTCATGGAAGATAGAGGAAGAAGCAAGAGCAAAGCGCCGTCAACTTTCTGTAGAAATTCTAGAAACATATCAAAATCTAGAGGACCTGCGGTAAAGTGCTACCATTGCCATAGGAAGGTCACATCAGAAAAAAACTACAGACAGTTAAAGGAGCAGAAAGGGGGCAACAACCAGAATGACGACAACAACACAACCGCCACTATAGATGGTGAAGTGGCACTTCTTACTCCTGGAGAAGAATGATTGCATGTTAGAGACGATAATGCTGACTGGGTAGCCGACACAGCAACTTCATACCATGCAACACCCAACAAGGAGTTCTTCACATTTTACAAAGCCGACGACTTTGGCATCGTGAAGATGAGAAATATCAGTCAATCAAATATTATCAAGATTGGTGATATTCATCTACAAATAGATATTGAACGCATGATGACCTTTGGCACATTCCTAATTTGTGCCTCAATCTCATATTTGGGCTTGCTTTTGATTAGTTTGGCTATGAAAACTACTTTGGCAATGGAAGATGGAAACTCACTAAAAGATCTTTGGTGGTTATCAAAGGGAAAACATCCAGCACATTATACCGAACTCAAGCAAAGGTGTACGGTGATAGCCTAAATATGATGGAGGATAACTCTTCTCCAAATCTCTAGCACAAAACGCTGGGTCACATGAGCGAGAAGGGCTCATAGATTTTGGCAAGGAGGGGACTAATTTCCTTACCCCTAAGGTATTGTTGCTCTATAGCCATGTGATAATCGTTTATTAGGCAAGCAACATCGAGTTTCATTCAATAAATCTTCCCACAAAAACTCTAATGTGTTAGATTTGGTTTACTCTGATGTTTATGGTCCTAAGTGAAGTCTCTCGGTGATAATAAATATTTTACCATTTTTATCGATGATGCATCCAGGAAATTATGGGTGTATAACCTAAAAATAAAAGGCTAGATATTCGAGTGTTTTCAGAAGTTTCATATTATGGTGGAGAGAGAGAGAGGCCGAAAGCCTTTAAAGTGTATTTGCATAGATAATGGAGGAGAGTACACACCCAAAGAGTTCTAAGGCTACTACTCAAAATATGGTATATGGCATGAAAAGAACTAGGTACTCCTCAGCATAACGGTGTAGCAAAAGAGGATGAATCGCACCATCATCAAGAGAGTCTGAAGCATGCCAAAGATGGCAAAACTTCCCAGGGCATTCTAGGGAGAAGTAGTTCTCATAGCGGGCTACTTGATCAATCGATCTCCATCAGGTCCTTTATCATTCAATATTCCAGAGAGAGTATGGACAAAGAAAAATATATCTTACTCTCATCTGAAGATGTTTGAGTGCAAAGCTTTTGCATATGTTCTAAAGAAGCAGAGATTAAAGCGTGATGACAAGGGGATTCCATGCATCTTTGTTAGTTATGGAGATGAAGAATACGGGTATAGGTTATGGGATCCTATAAAGAAGAGAGTTATCAGAAACAAAGATGTGGTCTTTCATGAAGGCTAAACAATCAACGAGAAGTCCAATAGTGAGGTTGATGGAGATTCTAATCCCACAATAGTTCCTTCACCGCTAGAGGATGTTACGGCAAGGGGAGATGCACATGATCACATGCAAGACATGCCAGAGATGGACAACACTGATGATGATGGTGATGATGGATAAGCTAATGAAGATGAAGAATGATGCAGACGTAGAAACGGGGAGGCCGATCAGATATCGTTTCGATGCCGACGAGCCCTGACAACAGTAGGTATTTCACGAGCTTGAATCCACAAGCTCTAAGTTTCTCAAAGTTGAGAACAAAAACAAAGAGAAAATTATCTTAATTGAATAATTGAAAACTTAATTACTTGATATATAAAAGAAACTATTATTTATAGCCAACTAAACCTATCCTAACTCTAATCAAAAAGAAAGTTTGAATCTAAAAGAAAATAACCAAAAAGCAACTTTTTTCTAATTTAAAAGGAAATAACCAAAAAGAACTCTTTCCTAATCTAAAAGGAAATAACCAAAAAGAAACTCTTTCCTAATCTGATGTCCGAGTCGACACGGGTGCTTTTCTTCTTATCTCGTCCAATGCTTGATCTCCTGTATCAGTCCCTCCTTCTTCAGAAGAACTCGTCTCTAAGTTCGCATCACTCGAATACAACTTGATTGAAGGATGATAATCAGAAATATCAGCGACGTTAAATGTCGCCGACATAGCCATTCCTTCTGGAAGATCCACTACATATGCATTATCATTGATCTTCTTGAGAATCTTGAACGATCCTTATCTTTTCGACTTAAGCTTATTGTATGTTCCAACCGGCATCCGTTCCCTCCGTAAGTAAACCATCACCATGTCTCCTTCATTGAACACCTTGAGTCGCCTCTTCTTGTTCAAACAATCTATCATGGGAGCAACTATAGAACTGAAATTGTGAATAAAACGCCGATAAAAAGATGCTAATCCACGAAAGCTCTTACTTCAATAGCACTTTTTGGAGTAGACCAATCCTTGATTGCTTTGACCTTATCTTCGTCAACTTGGATTCCCTGCAAGCTTACCACAAACCCTAAGAACACTAGCTGAGTCGTCAAGAATACACATTTCTTAATGTTGATGTAAAGCTCGTTCTTCTTTAGCACTCAGAAGACCTCTTGGAGATGCAATATATGTTCTTGCTCATCCTAACATTCGTAGAGGCCCTCACTACTCTTGAATGCATTCTTCCACTCGTCACCGGGTCGGATTCAGATCTGATGATATCCACTCGCAAGTCGACTTTTGAAAAGACGCTTGCGCCTCCCAACTGATCTAACATGTCGTCTAGCCGAGGGAATTAGAACCTGTAGCGAATTGTAATCTTATTAATGACCCTACTATCCACACACATCTGCCAACTGCTATCCTTCTTTGGTGTCAACAGTGCTGGAATTGCACATGAACTTATGCTCTCTCGGATGTGGCCTTTCTTAATAAGGTCCTCAACGGCATCCTGTAAAACCTTCTTTTCCTACGGGTTCATGCGATAATTTGGGAGATTAGGAAGTACTGAACCCGGGATGAAATTAATATGGTGCTGAATATCCCTCATGGGAGGTTGACCCTCTAGCAGCTCTTCAGGAATCAACACTTCGAACTCCTTAAGCGGTGACTTCATCTTCCCTGGGACCTCAATGAGTGTCTTCACTTCTTCTTTCACAACCGAGGCAAACCTCTGATTTAACTCCTTTGATTCGACCAGAAATCCTCCCTTATTGCAAAGAGAAACACGTTTGGATTTTTGATCCTTTGGGCTCTTTGGGGAGGGTGGAATTGGTGGTAAAATGATCTTTTTATTCATCCACACAAAAGAGTACTTGTTCTTCTTGCCGCCATGCTTAGCGTCAACATCATACTACTACGACTGTCCCAACAATACATGGCACACATCCATATCCACAACATCACAAGCAACAGAATTACTATAAGTCTTACCTAGTAATAGTGGTACGCAGCATACTTTGGTCACCTTCACGGAGGGACCCTTCTTGATCCATCCTATGGTATAAGGCACAGACTTTATTTCGGTCGGTAGTTTTAAGTGATACACAAAAGCCTTTGACACAATATTCTCATAGCTTCAATTGTCAATGATGAGGGTGCACACCTTGTTGTTGACTAAACATCTAGAAAAGAAAATTTAGTGTCGTTGTGATGAATCTGGTGTCTTCTGAGCGCATAGAAGTTGTTGAACAACACACGACACATTGGTGCCTTCAATCACGGCAACCTCTTCCTTATAATCTTCTTCGGATGTCGTGTGTCCATCCTCGGCTTTTTTATAATCCGCTAGATTAACCTTTTGCCGTTGCGGGCACTCGTTGGACTTATGCCCTGATTGGAGACATCAGAAATAATTCCCTACAGTCGGCTTGACATACGTATTTGCTTGAGTCGTCGGGGGCTGTGGTTGAGTTGTCGACCGCTCGGCCGACCGTGGAGGAACAGGCCGATCAGTCGTCCTTTGCCCGGCCGACTCACCTCTCGCCTTCTCGACCGAACCTCCCTGTTCGGCTTGTCTGAAAGGTAACACCTTAGAGGCCAATCTTTCTGCCTTGAGAGCCATGTTATGGGCTTCGTTCACAGAGTAGACGTTGTGGATGGTCACCTTTTCTTGAATTGAATACCTCAAACCTCCAATATATTTGGCCGCGAGTTGCTCCTCACTCATAGACAAATCACAACGAGAAGTAAGACGGAAGAACTCTTCGGTATAGGTGCTTACCGATCTGTATCATTGATGGCATTGCTCGAACTGGTTGTAAAGGATCTGTTGGTAGTGGGTGGTAGGAACCTAGCCTGGAGTAATTGCTTCATGCGTCGCCAAACCCGAACTGGTTGCTTACCTTACCGTCACCTAGTGTTTTGAGTCTGATCCCACCATGCCGCGGCTCCTCCTTTGAGACGATATGCCACAAACTTCACTAGATTTGCTTCGGGTTCATTAGCCATCTCAAAGAACTTCTCCACTTCATAGAGCCAACCCAAGAAAGCTTCTATGTCCAGATTTCCTCCAAAGGAGGGGACTTCCACCTTCATCCGGTACTCTTGGTCAAGGTGATGTCCGCCCTGTCGATGATAGTTACGACAAGGGTTGAAGCCTCTGCCTCGACCTCTATCATAAGGTCGTCCTCCTTCTTCGCTCGAGACGTTGTCGTACCATGGTCCCTCAAATTGGGCACCATAGTCTGCTCCTTCGTCACTGGATTCCCTCAAATTGGGCACCATAGTCTGCTCCTTCGTCACTGGATTCATCATGTGGAGGGGGTTGGTTGGGATGTCGTCTATGATGATAGTCTGCTCCTTCGTCACTGGATTCATCATGTGGAGGGGGTTGGTTGGGATGTCGTCTATGATGTGGAAGGGATTGATATGGAGGAGGTTGATACGGAGGGGGCCGATATAGAGGGGTTTGGTTTGGACGTGGTTGATATGGAGGGGGATGTCGGGGTAGCCTAACTCTGGGTTTGCTTAGGTGAAGACCGTCGACAAAATTATTCTCATTATTGAGGTGAAGGGTAAGTCCTTCATTGGCTTGTTGAACGTTCTGAAGAGACACCTTCAACGTGCCAAATCTTCCATCCATATAATCTATCCTCGCAGAAAGTATCTGTAAGAAAGTTCCTTCTCGCCGTCAGCTGCCATTGTCGAGGATGTTGAAGCCGAAGCTCTGATATCACTTGACGCAGACGTAGAAATGGGGAGGCCGATCGATATCGTTCCGATGCCGACGAGCCCTGACAACAGCAGGTAGAAATGGGGAGATTAGATCCTATTTATGAGTATTGTAATCTTCTTCAATATTAATCAAAGAATTGTATGGTGTGGCTCCCAAGAACGTAGGCACGATTGCCGAACCTCGTTAAATCTGTTCCTGAAGGGCAAGGGTTCGATTTGATTGTTTTGAATCCCCGACAATTGGAACCCCAATGCAGATTTCATCTCCAATTCTTCAGGTTTGTTCATGGCCTTCTCGGATTGAAAGAGTTTGAAAGTTCAAATTTTTATGTCTGGCTAATGTTAACATGCAAATATTAGGTCATTTGCATCCAAAGCTTCCGCCATCTTTTGGCAACCATTGAATGCAAGACCCAGATCTTTCTTTGATGGGACTATAACTAGTTTCTGAGGTCAGAAATGCCAAGAAAAAGCGGATTAATGAAAGATCTCATCCCAACTGGAGGAACGCATTCCGACATAATGTAGATGTGATTCTCACCTGTCATATATGAAGTCGGTTCTAAAATAATTGTTATCCTTATCATATGAACGATTCTTTTATACAGAATGATGCGGCCCGGAGAGCAACCTGATGTAGGACGCATAATGGATAACGGAGAAGCAGAACAATCAGGAACTAAAGGTGGATATATATGAATTATTGACTTGTCAACAAAGAAATGATTATATCTCCTGATTAGGAACGTGGATTCTAACATATTGTATATGTAAATTCCTTATCTCGGCGAGACGGAGCCAGTTGAATTGTTAGATTTCAAAAATCACATCAGCAATACACATTTATATATATTTTTTTATTAAGAAAGTTGGAGTCTATTTAGATTATAAAATAAATTCAATTTTGATTCATGTTGTACTGATTTGTTTCCTCTAGGGAGTCTTTTTAAGATAGGATTTAATACTTTCTATTTATTTGTAATTCTAATCTTATTATGAGTCTATTTTATTGTTCTATTTACGAAGAGTCATGTAATTCTAGAATTTGAAGGTCGCTTCGTAGATTCAAAGTTTTTCGTGGATTCAAAGACTATTCTTTGTGGATTCAGAGAAAATCCCTTGGTGAATTCTGAGGTTTATCACTTTCGCACTGCTTTAATTAGTACTAGAGTCATGTTTCTCCTATTCGATGGCAGACAATGAAGCCGGTGTAACGCGAACTAAGTTCACTGAGTTCCTAACTAAGTTCATTGAGTTCCTAACTAAGTTGATGAGTTGAAGCTAGATTTACTCTGGTGAAGACCTCCATAGTCTGATTTGCATTAGCGGTAGAGCGTCTAAATCCGGGACGATTTTGAGATCATGTTTATTGTCGCTAAAGATGAGATCATAATCGTAGAGGCTACCAAAGAAAGGGCAACCATGACGCTAGAGGATTAAGGATATCATTCTTCAACTAAAAGCTACATGCTGATGATTTTCTTGATTAGATTGATGAAGTGGATAGATATTTCGAGTATGAGATGATCCCAGAAGATTAAAAAGTTAAATTAGTGGTTTACAAACTTAAAGGGAAAGCATCTGCATGATAGGGCAAAGTATTGATAAATCAATACCATCAAGGGAAGGATCCGGTTCGAACCTAGGCAAAGATGAAGAAATTATTGAGAGACCGCTTTCTACCTTCTAACTATAAACAATATCGGGTGTCTTCATAAGATTCTTTTATGTTAGCCAACATTGTCCGTCTAGCAAAGAAGGTTGAGAAAGAACTTGAGCAAAACAACAAACACTTTCGGAGATTTTTCACACTAGTTATGATTGTGGCAAAACTAAGAATCCTTAATTCATATATGAGAAAGGGTTTGGATTTGCGAAGAACAACAAAGAAAACTTTATCAATTGTGTCGAGCATAGAAAAAGAGGCATCTATGATAGATATTGCTAAGGAGAAGATTTCACATGTAACTGACTTATATTCTAAAACCGAGCAAATAGATACCGAAAAGTATTTAAATATTACAGATAAAATGCTCTAAAGTTAAGAAGAATCCAATTTATCTACATATCCAAGAAAAACTCATAACATAATGTATTAAAATGTAACTTTTAGATAAGGCTCTTTAATTAAGACTATTTACAAGCTGATGGTATTTATAGTCACTATTGGGTAAACAAGAGGGCAACAAAATATAACACCTACAATTTTGAAAAAAATTATCTATAATAAAGGTCCACAACATTGATGAAACTATAGGACGCTTAAGTGCAAATTCCCCAATTTTTTAAGGGACTTTTGAGGGTTGACGAATAAATGGGCCCAAAGCTCATTACAGCCACAGCCCAGATAAAGCCCAACAGAGGGGTCTTATCAACAATCCATCCAAACCGAAAAAATACTCGGGGAAGAAATAAAAAAAATTAAAAAAATGGAGACCCAGGAGGCCGCCGCCGGCGGAGGAGCAGAACCGTCGGCGGTTCTACGTCGAGATCGAAATACGGTCGCTACGAGCGGAGCATCAATCTCCCGCTGATAATTATCCGTGACGAGAGAGCGAGCCCTACTCCATCTTCACCTACCGCTACTTCGTCTACCTCTGGCCCCAGCTCACTTTCCTCGTACCCTCTCCGTCTCCTTCTCTATCTGCGGTTTCGTGATTCTGTTCTCTTTCTCTCTCTAGAATTAGGGTTGGGGGCTAGGGTTTTTTTTTTTTTGATTGCGGTCCTTGGATTTTGATTTTGATCAGGCGTTTCATAAGGGGAAGTGCGTGGGGACGGTGGTCTGCAAGATGGGGGAGCACCGGGGGGCTTTTCGAGGCTACATCGCCATGCTCGTCGTGATCAAACCCTACAGAGGCAAAGGAATTGGTAAGCATTGAACCGCGTGATCGATGAGCTTTTATTCTTCAATGAAGTTTTTTTATATTTTTTTGACGTTTCTGGCTAGATATAATCGGAAAAGAAGCAATTTTGCGTGAAAATTTAACAGTAGGCATTATTGATGGAGGTCTTTGTGCTGTTTCTATCTCGACTATTATATAAAGGAATGATTTTCTTGGGGCTCGATCTTTAGGCAATGTTCATGGAGGCATTGTTCGGGCTTTTTGATGAACAAGAGCTCTTTTTTTTTTTTGCCTCGACAATCTTTCACGTAGACAGTATTGATGGTGATAGAACTAACATGATAGCAAGTGAAGGTTTTTTTTTTTTTGGGGGACGGTTTTTTTATGTTTTAGAACAAAGAATCGTGAAAGGCAACTTCTTTTTATGTATGTTTAGCTTGTATGTAACCACCAGACTGAAAACGAGAAAGACGCACCTTTAGAAAGTAATATATAGCCTTGTTTAGAGACCACACGCGCGCGCACAAAACATGTAAAAACAAGAAGAAATGGAGTAAGAAACACAGAGGAATTAAAGGTTGTAGGGCAAAGAAGAGTGGAAGTAACATCTAGATTTTTAGTTGCATTGTGTGCTATGTTATCTACTTGAAATAAAGATCAATAAACATAAAATGTTTTGAAATCCTGAAAATTAAGAAAGAATACAAAATATTTAACTATGGAGAAAGAAATATGAAATATCCATGCCATGCAGACTAATGATAATAGTTCTGATGATACGAATACCAATGAAGCGAAAATAAGTAGTGAACAAAACCAGCAGCCATGTCACTATAATCTGCACTTAATACATATGCACTATATATATAACTGCCTAACCAAACATGTTGCATATGAGCTGTGATACTGTAACAATTGGTCATTTGCCGTGATACTCCAATAGGTAGAGAACTTCTCATACGTTTTTGTGGTTGCAATCTAAACAACGAATATAAAATGTAAAAGATATATTTCCTTGAGTTGTATGAATAATCATTGAATCTCAATCGGTTGCTCCACTTCACTACCAACTCCTACCTGATTGAAATTTTGCACAACTGGAGCATTGGTGTACAAGCGAGCTTCTTTCTGCAGCGCAAGAGGAACATTGTCTGCACATCCATAACCTATATTTCCACAAGTAGCATTGCCTAGCCAAAAAGATGCAAAATGAGTTTTTTTTTTGGTCCATATGTATATATTCCAAAAAGTGACTCACAGTGTGTGCAAAAAGTCTCCTGTTTCTCTCCCCCCACACACTCGAAATCAAGGTACGCAGATGAGAGTCAAACTTCTTCTTTTTATCACCTTTCAAAACAGTGTCTCCACTGCATCCACAACTCGAGCATATCGTGAGGAAAGTTTGATATATTGAACTTAAAAACACACATAATTCCATGGTGATTGAACAAAATAACATTTTATAAAGAGATGTGTTTTTGATTCATCCACTTTTCTACACAGCACACGGAGAGGATATATATCAATTCCACTCAATCAACAATCTACACGGAGAGGATATATATCAATTCCACTCAATCAACAATCTATCTTTAGCATTCAACTTTCCCATAAGAACTAAGCAGCATAACATTCCAACTTTTAGAGGGGCAATAGCAATTCAAATATCAGAAAATGGGCTCCTCATGCCTCCTTCAATTAAAAAAAAAAGATAATAAGATTTTGTAGAGAACATCCCATTAGCATTCCACCTTCATTTTCTATTATCTGAATTAGAATTTATATTCGCCCCATGAAGTAATTCTATCAACTCCAAAGTCCAAATATTGAAATACTAAGGTTTTGGAATACTAAGGGTCCAGTGAGCTGTCTGTTAAAATGAATATTCCATTTCCAAGTATCCCCAACATGAAGCATTTGAGAAGAGGCAGAAATATTTAAAATGAATGGAGCAATTCTTAAAAAGTAATTTGGTTATCAACAGCATTAGCTACTAGAAAGTTATAAGAAAATGTAAGAATTCTTCGAGTTCTGTTTTATCAACTATCTACTTTTGCAAGCTTAGTTGATACACAATAGTGAATGCTATGTTAGTAAGTTGTGACTGGAGGATAGCAAAATCGATGTTCAGTTGACAGCCATTGTATGCCTTTCTTGTCAAAGGCTAACAATACCGAGGGTGTATCGCAGCTTTTGAAAAACTAGTTTTTAAGGAACAAACAAATTACTATTCTGCCATTGCAGCTTTTGATAAATTTTATTATTTAAGCCGAAAGCCACCAAAGGCTAACATGGCTTAAAAGCTTGTAAAAATAAGCCTCCCCAAACACCCTCACATTCTCATTCATTTGCTCCTAGTTCCTATCAGGGAACTCTTCCAACATTGTACTTTATCTAACTATGTTTTCTATCAGGATTCCACTTGAAAGTTGCATTACCTACCTGATAGTCTCTGTAAAATCACCTTGGATCAGTGGCGTAGCCAGGAATTTTGTTTGCCCTGGGCAAAAATTCTTCAAAGCAAAAAAAAATAAACAAACTAGAGTGCTTTGATTAGATATTGATAAAAAAGACAAAGTTGTATCATACACGTTCAAAATATGAGATACACCAAAAGTATCTATCTAAGTCGAGCTCTACGAGTATCTCGTGAATCAAACTCCTCTACTATTTCTTCTGTGTCGAGGCTGGAAGTAATTTCTTTTTCAATATAAAGTATCATGTTATTAGCAAGCAATTCATCACCCATCTTGTTGCGCAATGATGTTTTTATGAGTTTCATTGCTGAAAATGCTCTTTCCGTGCTTGCAGTCGAAACAGGAAGAGTCAACACGAGCCGAATCAACCTATCAATAAGAGGATACCTTCTGGATTTTCCTTTACTTACCAACTTTTGACATAATCCTGAGAGTGTAGTAATATTTTGAAAATCAGGATCACACCGCATATCATGCTCATAATGTTGCAATTGATGCCTCAGCTGATAATTAATCTCCATTTCACTGAAATCTTGGGGATAATATTTCTTCGCAAGCATGCAAAGGTCATCAACTTTAAATGATTTGAAAGAATCTGTTGGATCCAAAGCAGAGCTAAGACTTAGAAGTTCTACTGCTCTATCGGAGAATCTTTCACTTAACTCCATCACTTGTGTGTTAACAACTTCATATAATATATCAAAGCGATAATGATGCTCCATTGTAATTTCATCACTCTGCTGACAAGAACGACCTGTGCCCTTCACATAACGAGAACTCATATCGGGTATATCAATTTCATGTTTCATACAAAAGGATACTACAGACTGTAGAAAATTTTGCCATTTGTCATCACCTTTCAACTCACAGAGAAGAGTTTTTGTGATAGATATAGAATCCATACCAGTTAAAATATCTTGATCTTTTCTTTGCAGTGATTGACAAAGTACTTCTGTTACTCCCATTATTTCAACCATTAAGTGTAAGGTAAAAACAAAGTCAAATGAACCCATTGTAGTAAACCCACCACTAGCTTCTGCACGGATTTTTCTATTCAACCCATCTGCCTTTATAATACCAAGAACTTTCCACACGGGTTTATACAAACCAAGCAAACTACAAGCAGAAGAATAGTGTGAGCCCCAACGAGTAGAAGCAGGAAGTTGTAAGCGGTGGGCAAAGCAATGAACATAGTATGCATATGGACATTCTTGCAAAAATAAACTTTTTAGCCCACTCCATGCACCTCGCATATTGCTAGCCCCATCATAACCTTGTCCTCTTATGTTTTGTACAAGCAATCCATTACGATCAAGTATAAGCGAACACATCTTTTTGAGAGTTTGTGCGGTAGTGTCTTCAACTCCTATTACATCAAAAAACCTCTCTCTGATAAAACCATCTGCATCAACAAATCTTAAGACGATAGCCATTTGCTCACAATTGGATTCATCTCGAGATTCATCAACTAAAATACAAAACTTAAAATCACCAATTTCTTCACAAATCTTTTTCCTCACCAAGTCGCCCATAATTTCCATAATCTGATTTTGAACCATCGGTGATGTATAACTAGCATTCCCGGGAGCATTTTCTAAGATAACCTCTGCAACTTGCACATTAAGAGTGGCACTATATTTGAGCAATTCAATAAAGTTTCCACGATTTGCTGAATCAAGAGATTCGTCATGCCCTCGAAGAGCACATCCTTGACATGCTAGCCAACGAATAGCATTAATCGTAGTGACAACACGCAAGCGATTTTTCTTTATTTCAGCTTCATTTTGTAAGGTCAAATGTTTCTTAATGTTTTGAGATGGCTTTTTCAAAGCATGTATTGATCCCGTTTCTCCTTCATGCACTCGAAAATGACTATCTTTTCCTCCAGCTCTCTTCCAACTATTAAATCCTTTCGAAGTCCAAGCTTCTTGTTTATGTTGTTGGGAGGAATTGCTCTCAAAAAGAAAACAAGGAAAACAATAGGCACGGTCGGTTGTTTCAGAATATTCTAACCAAGCATAGGTCTTGAACCAATCATATCGAAAGCTACGCCCGTCTTCATTTCTTGGATATTCTCGGAGGTTTGGTTGGCATGGCCCTATTGCTATGTAACGACGTCGAACCTCATCTTGTTCTTTATATGGATATTTCCATATTGCTTGACGTAGTCCGGGATCATAAGATACGGTATCCTTGACCTTTTGAATTTTAGGAGGATGTTGCTCTTCCTCTTTATCATCAACCGTTGGCTCTGTAGACGGTGCCTCGCTTGAGGCTCCAATAATGTCTTTTTTGGAATAAAATGAAAATAAAGTTTTCATTCCCTTTCCAGACATTTTAGCTTCAAAATTTAATAGATTGTGATTAGGATATTAAAAAATTGCATGCATTTAGAAGCACATTAAAAAATTGCAGGTACTGTTAACTTTCAATACTTGTTAGATACAAGATGGGATAGAGATCATAGAGTGGCATCTCGCAGCAATTTGCATAAAATCCACAAAATGTTTGTATAGTATGTATTATACAATAATACAAACATTTACAATTTAAAAAATATCAAACACAACACCTTACAAGATATTAGATTTGAATAAGGGCAATACACTTCAAAAATTGGTTCAATTTTCTATCTTCCAAACATATTGAGACTTTTCCTAGTGTAAATTTATGAATATTAATTGTTGTCGGTAAATTTCAGGCAGCAATTTAAGGTTAAATCATATGAAATCAGTTCCAATGCAAAGATAAATAAAGAGACAAATTTCAGCAATATGCGTGCAGCTATGTAACATACTACATACAAACACAAACTCAAACTAAAAGTCTAAAATAACAAACATAAATCAAAGAACAAACATGGTTTGTCTCTAACCTTGTTTGGCGGCTTGCTCTGGGACTGGGAGGGCGAGGACGACGTCGGATACTCCGATACTGTGAGGATTTTGTTGTCGGGGACCGGGGGGCGGTCGTCGACTCGTCGGAGTCTCGGAGTCGGACTGTCGGAGAGCTTTGGGATTTGCCGATTTGGTCGGGGACTCGTTAGTCGTTACTCAGGGCAATCGTCGAAGCCCTAGCTTTTTTTGGCCAGCCCCTTTTCTATTCTCCAGTCGCTTCGAAGTTCGTAATATTGGGGGAGTCGCCGAGTCGGGGTCCTTGGGGAGAAATAAAAGCGGTGGGGCTGTGATAGTGATACGTGGCCAAAAAATTATATATATAAAAAAAAAATTCATTTTCTTGCCCTGGGCAGCTGCCCAGGGCAAGTTCAACGTAGCTACGCCTCTGCCTTGGATCCGTATGGAATTGAATCCTCTTGTTGCAACCAAGGGATTATGCTTCCCCAGTAATGTAGTAGTTGGAAACGAGCCCTTAGCATCATTTTCACTTAATCACAGTTTAAGATAGGATTTCAAAAATTGTATGCTACGGTGAACATGCAAGGATAGACAAGAGCCTACCTTAAATTTATTACTACCTGGAAAAGGATATCTTGCAAAAGTTGACAACCTATTCTTGCAAGTGGAAAATGGAAGGCAAGTGAATACAGGGAAGGAAAGTGGGGGAAAAAGACTAAGAAACTTACCTCTTCACTTTCAGCACTCTGGAGTCAATTAGTTTTCCTGCTATACATGCCCATGCCCAGAAGTGAGAGTTAAGAGTTCATCCTGCGGTAGATCCGCAAGTATGTAATATATTGGAGGTGGGCTTGCAATAGTAAACCAGGAACTATGTCTGATGCTTTAGCATATTTAGGTTTGGGGCAGAGAAAATTTTCCTTCTTCAGATGGATTTAGGTGGGGATGGGGCTAGGCTTCAAATCTTGAATTCATCATCCTCCAACTCTTTATAATTCACCTTGATTGACTGAGCTTCTCTAAAAGTCACTTAAACCTAGAAACAATTACCCTAAATTATATTGTAAGTACAAGTCAAATGATCCAGTTTTCACAGTGGAGCTGATTAACTGTTTATCTTGTTTATGCATGAGTTTTTGCATTCAATCCCTATTCATATTAAAGGTAAACTTGAATCAGTTTCACTTGTAAACACTAGCTAGCTTTTTTGTCGGTTATGCAGGAAAATTTTATGTTCTAGACGGTGTTAAACTATATTCTGTAGTTCTGTGTATCACAGCCAGACCCGTTTCCGTTTAATTTATTGTGAACCTTTTTCAATACTTGCATGTTCTATAGCTTATGTATACTGTCGTGTTGCAGCAACGGAGCTGGTTACTAGATCTATTCAGGTAATGAGGGAATCCGGCTGTGAGGAGGTATGTTGCTAATACAGATTGATTACATGTTTTTTGATCGCTAATAAATTTTTAAGTAAAAGGATAACTTCATGCTATTTATAGGAGTATCTGGTACCTGATTGTTAATGTTGTTTTTTTTTAACTTTTAGCCAAAGTCTGACTTTGGATTTCACTTGCAACATCTATTCATGTGCATAAAGAAGATGTTCCAGGTTTGATACCTATCTTAAGCTGGTGGACTATATATTTCTTTTGCTCAGTTGGGCTTTGTTACCTCCATTAGTGAACCAAATAACTGAAGAAAAATATGACTATGCAAAACAATCAAGAGAACGCCTTGTACTTTTTCTTACAATTTGACAAATAATCACAAGGAATGAGCGAAGAAGTAAATATGCGCATTATTATACTATTTACTATGTATATATACTTTTCTCTCAGATTGTTGTTGAGAAATTCATACTGCAGTGCTAGTTAAACCTTAGTGTCTAGCTCTGATATTGATGGTCCTTTCTGATATAGGCCAAATCTATCGGATACTCAGTTCGAGCTACTCAGATGTCATTTGAGGCTAAAGCAAGTAAATATTTTGCTAATTGGTTCCTTATATGAAACTGAAACATCAAATCTTCAGTGTAATATTCTATGGAACGTGTTGTCAGTGCAAAACATTATCTGTTAAGTTGCCAAATTTGATCAGGTGATGCTGGTCATATATGAGGCCTATCTAATTATGAATTCCTTGCCAAAGGCTAAAAATTCTCAACATCAGAAATAATTCTCAATAGCCAAAACTCTCAAACCGGTAAAAGCTTAATGTAGGACATTGGAAGTGTTAATCCTCAATAACATCTCATAGCTCGCTGGCATTTATTGGAAAAAGCATGAATGATGACAATCTTTGTGGCTCACTCTGAGAGGAATGTTTACGCTAACATGGTGAACACTGTTTATTTCCTTTTGCAGGTGGCATTGGAAGCAGAAGTTACAAACAAGGGAGCTCTTGCCCTCTATGGTCGACTAGGGTTTATACGAGCAAAGAGGCTGTTCCGCTACTATTTGAATGGAGTGGACGCTTTCCGCCTTAAGTTGTTGTTTCCTCATCGTGACCCATCCATGCTTAGGGCTTCAACCGGATATAACAGTCATGTTCATCCTTCGCAGCATTCACAAGAATTTCCTCAGAGTAATACGGACTTCAAAGTCCGAGGTACAAGTATTAATGAGTAGGTCAAGGATCGTCGAGAATTTTCAAGTAAGAAAGAGGTGTTGTATTGATTGCAATGCATGTTGTTGACACTTGGTTCCTTCCAAGTATCAACATGGGTTGCAAGCTTGTATCAATCTCTTGTTTCACGAGAGTTCTATCGCGATGCGACATTTTATAATTTATATATACAAGTAGCTCCTTGACAGGATTTTCTGTATCCTTTTCATACTTGAAACTTCTGATGGCTCTTAAACTATGTTATGATTGAGCGGTTATTTTTAGCAGTGGACTCAGGCTATCAAGTGGCATAATTGAGGCATGGAAATTGAGAATCAGAAGGGAAAGAAGGACCTCGGTTGATACCGAAACACCCGATATCTGCAGTTCACTCATGGAGAGGTCATTTTTTTCAGTTTAAGAGTTTTTAAGATATTTGTCCCTTCAAATTTTCGTATTATTTGAATTAGCGTCCCAAATCATTAAAGTGCTATCTAGTCCCCTAATTCATGTCGGATTAATCACTGAAATTTCCGTATTATTTGATTTTCTGCCTTGGAATTTTGTATTGTCTTCTTGCATAGAGAAGCTTGAGTAGCTTGTGAGCAGAGAAGATTGTTACAGCACAGGGTCCTCACTTATTCACAATTTCATAAATTTGAGAAGGGAGACGTTGGAAAATGGACAGAAGTAAAAAAGATTTGGGTTTGGGTTTTTACTGGGTTTGAGTTTAGAATTTGGATACAGAATAGAATAGGATAGCACTGTTTATGATTATTAACCAATTGTTTTTTTTAGTGGATGCAGAATAGAATAGGATAGCACTGTTTTTTTAAGTGGATACATGTCGGGTATTGAAAAAAGAGAGTTCTTGTCTCCAAATTTGAACCAGTTCAGTTAGAATATAAATTGTAGAAAATCGGGCAACTTTAGCCCACGAGAAATTGGCCTCTTTATTAGATTTACACCGATATATGGGGAAAATTTGGCCAAAAATGATATTCAATAAATTTTTACAAAAACTGTATCGGCTATGGCCTAACCCAAGATATCAGCGATAAATTGATAAAATCAGGCGATTTTTAAAACGCTGAAAAGAGCATGTCCTCACACAATCATCACTTTTTATATTAATGTAAAAATTTGTTCTGACTTGATTTAACCATGCTGTTGCCATGCTTTGCATCGTTAAAGTTATTTTGTTGACTTGGTTTAAAAAGATAACACATAATTCATTGAGACTTTTGCCTTTAAATTAGCAACTGAGAAGTTGGAGGTTAACCAGAGGTATTGCCAAGTTCGACAAAATTGGCAGCTAAGAAAAAAAAGGAAATTTATTGTAAGAGAGTATCCATACTTAAATCAATAGCATCAATTCCTTCATATTTCCATGTGTTACTCATATTTCCTTTGAGCCTATAGACTTAGATAGAATCTAGTTGTTCTTGTTGTTATCGCTGATCCTCTAAGCCTATAGATTTAGATTTAGAGATCACGTCATCTTCACGTTGCACTTTCGATAATAATTTAATTTTTCAAACAAACACTGTATTTCACTTGCGTGCTAACATGGATGTAAAAATTATTTGCAAAAAAAGTAACTTACATATTTTAAATTCACTTTCAAATTGCCAAACACCCCCTAAATCCTATATGACAATTTTCTCACATATCACTTTCATAACCACTTGCATACGAACACCCCCTCAGTCGGTTGGGTTATTTGGGTTTCAAATGTTTCAAAAATCAAAACTGAAGTTTTTCAAAAACCAAACCAAACCGCTGAAATTCAGCCGGTTCAGATCAGTTTTAATCGGCTCGCATCGTGCTCACACCTACAATTAGGACTAGTTATACTGCAAAAGGTCCAAAATTGTTGAACCATTACTTAAAGACTTTGTCGGATAATATTAACAAAGAAACCCACGGGGCAAAAAACAGTCATATATGATATAGCATCTGGTGTGCTTACAATTTAAGGTTTGCACTCAACTGATAAGAGCTGAAGAAGCCAATAAGCCGCAAGAATTTTCTAACAAATCGCTACATCCATGTATCTATCTATATCTATATATACAAACTTGTTACTGAACTTAGACTTTTGGGTTTCCTGAGCTTTTGTAACTGGAACTCTCTTCCTACATACTTTAAAAAACTCAGAAACTCGATTGAGATTTCAGATTCAGTTTTTATACATCATTCCTCTGTTTCCTGTGCAATTTCAGAGGCCAATGTAAACTGAACCTGAAATAAAACTGAAAATTGCACCGGGCATCACAAGACTCTTGTATCTGAATGACATTAGAAATTGAAGAAAAACATGGCTCAAAATTAAGTAACAAGAGGCAAATCATAAATAGGGCAATATCTGAAACAAATTAGCCAAGTGATCCAATATCTCTAGTCCTCATGTAACTCATAAATTGTCCAGGCAACTCTGCTAGAAGCGATTGAATGACTGTTACTCCATCACCATCACCTGCAAGAAAAGAAAGGAAATTGTAACCTTTACCCAACATTTTAAAGGTCATGAATCATGATAAAACACATATGAAGAAAACAGAAATGGTGACCAAACGGATGCATGAGATGTTGAACTGTCGATCAACGCACATAATGATATATGGTCCAAGAAACCATCCAACATAACCTTCGTAAGTTGAGAATAGCTTTGCTACCATGGATGAAATTCGGGAGAAAAAAGATGTCAATAAAAGGATGTAATTGCGGACGTTTTAGCCGAACGGATCACTATATTCTTTAGTGGATAAAGCTACCAGGTAATTGGTTAGCTTTGCAATCATCAATTAGGCATAACGCTTAACTGTGTGTAGTCCCGCTCTTATGTGATCAATGAACTCTCGTCTGCAGACTTTATAATCTATGATCTATACAGCACACAAACAAAATAATAATCTGATCAATTTGCATGTAGGTGCGCATAAAACTCCACATTCTCATTGATACTACAAACTTACACTTTCGGCAAAGGTTAGGAGTAAAACATTGGGCTTACGCGGCTTACGCCGAAGTAATCCAATATGGTTCCCAAAATAAAATTTACATCCAGAAGCATGCAAATCCATTTGGTTCTCCATCACTTAATAAATGAATGAAAAATTAGAGATGGACAAAGTTTTTAATCCATCAAAACTAATGTCACCCAGTTTGAAGAACTTCAAATTACTTCATAAAAGATACTTGATAACATGGAAAAAAATAGACATAATCGTCAAAGGGTGGTTCCAAGTGTAAGCAATATTATGATATGTAGGATACTTAGAAAAAATTGGTGTCTCTGGGACACAACTCAGCTCCCATCTGACATTTATGTACCTATTGTTTACCAAAAATAGTATATGTATAAATTGGACATGTTATACTCCATAGGTAAAAGTTTTTGTTTTTGTTTTTTGGGAGATTTTACTGAAATTAGATTATTTTCTAAATAAATATTAACAAAGATATGTATTTACATCAGTCATATATACAAATCAGAAGAAACATACAAATCAGAAGAAACATACACATACATTTGTATTCTCATATCTGGATCTTGTTGTGTCCAACAGCCTATGTCCATGTCGAAG